TGGATAGAGGTTACTGTACGGACTGTTTCAAAGTTTTCTCCTACAGTGTCCTTATGAGTGTGAAGCCGCTGGGTTACAAGAAAGTTACAGAGTGCTTCCAAACCATTAGTTTTTTTCCCAATTTTTAAGCGCTGACTTGCACCTTCCTTCATCTCGAAAAAGAGTTGGAAACAAGCGACATTGTCATAATGGCAGTTCCCGTAGCCGTGAAAGAATTCGTAAGAGAGCAAACTTCACTTCAACCCATAGAGGTTGGCAAGTGCTTAAATTGAGAACCCCTCACCCAACTGACCTTAGCTTACAAGGCAAATCACGGTGAGCCACCACGTTTTTAAGACAGCAGGAATTCACTTCGCAGCTGAAACTAAGTACGATCTCGACCACCTCTGCGAATGACCGTTACAGAACAACGAAGCAAATATAGGAAATTTTAGGGCATAGTATCTAAGTATCTTTGCACAATGATAATCTAGACAGCATCCACCCTTCTTGCATAGAACGTGCTACATATATTAAACACTTCCTACACTTCAAATTTATAATGCTTGTGGTCGGGATCGAACGGCGTGATATATGAAGGCGCTTCATCTACATATCTAAGTAAAGAAATTATTAAGCGATTTTCAGCCTGTTTCGAAGTAAATACGTGGAATGTCTGTGAGCAAACACTTTGTAGTCTCGTTTATTTGTTTATATAACCTACTTACAAATATTGTGAGGTCACAGCACTTTATATTCTGCTCCAGTTCTCGCAGCTCTCACTACAAGACGCCCTGGATGATTTATTTGACTACTACTTAGCTATTCCTTCAAAAATGTCGCTGAATACTAGTCCAGAAGATTCTTTCTGAAATTTTGTAATAGATTTAGGAGAGTGTTGCTAGATTTTTGCCGCGGTCCTTCGCTGGCTTTTATGAACTGGAGAAAGGTTTTCTATCAAGTGAAGATGAACGATAATGAACCGCTTTCTGTACCTACGTTTTACAAATGATGCAGGAAAGTGCATGAAGAGATAGAAAATGATCTGTATTTATGATATTCTCTGTTGATTTATTCCTCCAACTGATAGAAACGAAGTTAGCAGTTCGAAGAGAATGGTAGTGCATTTAGAAATAGTCAAGGAAAAGAGTAATACCCATTTTCGCCTCAATTTGGTGAATGGTAATGATCTTACCGATCAATTTTTTCATGAAGATCCTCATTGGAAAATATAGTGACCCTCGTGTTCTTCAAAGAAACAAAACCCATGGGAAAATCTAGGGGACAATATGGTAACATGACTTTTAGATTTACTGACATGTCTTTCAAACGCTCGGTGAGAGTTCATATGGCAGCTGGCCAAGTCGATCTGTTTGTCTTCTACAAAAATTGTCCGTCAGAACCTATTTTATTGCTCATTCCTTGATGTGACTGTGACGACATGATTCAGCTTGTTTAGCTGACGTAACTGTGAGATCTGCCATAAGCTGAAGCAATAGAAAACCATATCCATAGAATCTCCAAATCCTTGCCATATCAAACGGTTGATTATGCCAACTACGTTCCATTATGGCCGCATGTATCACAGTGATTAAAGATGCCCACGTGGTTCTTGCTTCCAATCCTCGTTCCGGGCTCAACGTAGCTTCCATTCCTTCAGTTCTCTAGTCGATGACAAATTTCCAACATATTTGCCTGGGATGAGAGCAGCGCTGAGTTAATACAACGGTAGGCCACGTAAGGCATGGATCAGATATATAACACATTTAGTCACCTCTAACCGTACTTATTAAAGTCGAAAACATACATGACGTATCTCTTAGGGATAGGTCGACCCTAAGAGCTTTTTCCTTTACACCTTTTATATTCCATTATGTCGATTATGTGACACCACTTCTCACTTTCCCATCCTCCCTTTCTTTTCCACATAACACAATAGGCAAGCCAAAAAAACATGATTTCGTAAATTGAGATGTAGTGCAGATATTGGTTCACTGAAAGCTAACTAAATATGGGAGGTATTTGGTAATAAATCTATCAAGTTTGCAGTGCTTGTTGCGTTCGTAAAATACCACAAAAGAGTAGGTCTAGGACGCAGATTTCATACAGAGTGACTTAATAGACTTCCGAAAATCTCTTGCTGTTCCCCAAGTGGTTAAGTTGGTCGTTGAAAATCTTTTTTTTTTCAAAGCAGTTACAAAGATGCTTGAACTAGCGGTGTTTAGTTGCCGAAACATCCTAGGAGTATGGTAAATGGGACCGTTTCGTGTTGTAAATCTTTCGTCTTAGAGAATAATGGTTGTGTGACCTGTGATTAGACATTGTCAAACAGAAAAATTACTTCCCTTTCGATTGGTTAATGTCGGTTGCACACTTTCTGACATATTTCGTTGATTTTCTAACCATAATTTGTTTCTATTGTTTAAGTCTTAGTAGGTGCTCATAAATGAAGTGCCGTGGGTGCTAACGCAGTAACTAGTGATGCAGTCCATCGGGAAACAAACTACTGCTTCGACCCCCTTCTTAACGTTTTCCTACAATACACGAAGAGACGCCATTGCTTGGCTATCTCCAAGACTGCAAGGAAAAAAGACTTAAGCAGCATTCTACGACATTTATGAAAAAGACGAAATCCACAAGCAGCAGCCAAACAACAGGTGAAATGTTCGAAGATCTTTATGGACGATGAATTCGAGGAAAGCAAATCGAATGCAGGAAGTGAAGGGATCCATACAGTAAATATAATGACGGACCATGTGACAATAAAACAAAAATAATTAATCGTTTAGCCATTCGAGCAGAATTTTAAAAGCTATTGCATGTCGTTCTAGGTCAGAGCACAAAAAGATCTTATTGGCCTTTTTCCATGCAACTTGGTTACAAAGAGTATCTCCCTCCTTGCTTATCCAGCATTGCTACCACCTGGTTGTCGTGTATAACCATCGTTTGGTCTATGTCGCGATGCTGTCAAGTAATGTAGCTCGTGAAATTTTATTTTGAGCCTATTCGTTGAGCCCAACTTTCCAGTTCGGTTGCGATGTTCCGATAGTTGTAACCTAACGAATTGTTACCTGTTGTTCAGCTTCAGTTAATGGCTTGGAGCTTTTTCTTTTCACCCAGAGTTTTCTAATATACTTTTAAATCAGTAGGCTTCTTAATCAGTGTGGGTGTCTCATGTCATAAAGGGATGTATTTTAAAAGGATATCTGTGGTCAATATTTTAAGAAGAAAACTTTTTTGGACGAGTTTATGCTGCCGGCACGGACCACGCGGACGGCTCATATCTTTGGTGTGCTAAAGCACGTAAGTTCGCCACCTAAAGACACTTTATTTCATGATTGCATAATAAATCAGCAAAGAAACTTGTAATAGAGGTGATCGCAGTATATAGAAGCACTGCGTGTGCACATGGTGCACAATCATCAATGTGTAAATTAAATCCTTTGAAGGATTATATAGCTTCAACTTTTATTCTCACACCGTTCACTGATGTCGTAAACTTTTTTATCCAAGACATTTATATTACAATCTGCCAATTCTATAACGAACGAAAAAAGGGTGTGTGTGGCGTAGTGGTCGGAAGAATCCTTCAACACACGTGGAATCGATCTCCGCGCCCATGATCCCCCAAGCCTTCCATCCCTCCGGGGTCGGCCAATGGTACCAGACTTTTCTGGGAAGATGGCAGCACTGGTTCGATACATCGATAGGCCACTGTGAGTCATTGTAAAGGCCAGATATGCATTCAATCACCTCCAAACGATGCTTAGCGAAGTCGAATGCGTGGCACATCCATCAAGGATTGATCAACACGAAAAGCTTTGCACTTTGTCCTTTATAACGAAATATTTACATACTATGTATTGTTTCTTGTAAAGCTTATAAAAAATTGTAAATTGAAAAAATTGAAGCGAACAAACAAAAAAAATTGCAAGTTGAAATATTCACATACTATTCTCAGTCATAAAAATGCGGAATCTCTTCAATGCTCACTGCTGACACACAATTTGTGTGTAATTACAACCATTAAAATAAATGTTACAAGTTGGACAGTTTACAATTTGCACCCCTTTTCCAATTTCTTTTGACAAGAACAGTAAATTGGCTGATCATGAAGAACGTGTTTCGTCCAGCAGACGCTCCTTTGGACAAGTGAAGGTGAACCAGAATTCTTTCAAATCTTCATCTCGTCATCGTTTTGGACCAATGAGGAACGGGATCCAAGATGGGAAAGGTGGTCAAGTAATCACTTAATCGTAGCGTCTTAACAACTACCATCTAAAGGCACAAATTTCTCTAAGTTTTCACTATTCAGCAGCTGTTAGTTCCCATCGCTCATCCTTCTGTTGTCAATATCTGTAGTTCTTTTATACAAAAAGTTAACAGATATCAAATCGTTTATGAAATAAATTGGTTTTGCTTATCCAAGAAAGTTCCGCTCTAAATAAACTGTTGCTGTTGGGACAAGCGAATTCAAAGGACTTACTCTCGTTGAAAAGCCAAATGAAACGAGGGTAATTCCATCTTTCGATGACGTAACTCCTTCCCATCCAATTCATCGACATTTGGTTTTTTCTTCATGTCTAATCAATATGACAATCCTAACTCATTCTATAGAATCACTGGGTTTTGCGAAAAAATGGAAACACCTGTGTGTAATTCGCAATCCTAGCAAAAATGAATAAGATAGGTAGAATAAAAATGGTGAAAAACGTAAACATAGAAGCAGAAAAAGCTTACTGCAAAAAGCGATTTAACGACTTTCATCATAGTTACATGCTTTGTCGCAAAGTTGGTGTTTTTTCTTGAAATCTTCCTCGCTTTTAAATAAAGTCTAATAGCTTTGCTGTGCCAGTAGTTAGTGAATTTTACAATTAACTTCCGTTCTTCTCAGTGTTTCACCACCTCCTCCACTCATTTTCCTTCATGTATATTTTTCTTCTTGATTTCAGGAATTTCTCTCAAAAATCATAGAACCGGACCAAAATGTCGAAGAAATGGTAGACACCTATATCAAAAACATGCTACTTCTGTTTGAAAACTCTCACTACGCCCATGTGTTCGAAACGCAGCTCGCCAACCACTCCACCGACAACAACATTTGGACGTTTCCAGCAGCTGTGCTCTTCGCCACCACCACTATCATTCCAGTTGGTGAGTTTTGCATGCGATCGATGTGCTCATAAAGAGCGCCATCTGAGTGATCGTAATTATTCTAACTATCGAATAAACAACAAAGTTTATAAGTGCTAGGGCGAAATCTGAAGGAAATACTTCTCTAAAGAAATTGTAAGATATAAGGATACGACTATTGTCTTTCTTAGTCATAATAAACGTTTCTAGCCAAGTCTCTGATACGGAGTTCCATCGTGGAGGGCGACGAGCATATTAGCATATATCGAAGTTACGCCTGTGCACCAGAAGATAGTGATTAGACCAATGCACCAAAAGATGGTGCTTGTTGGTTGAAATTAGGTCTTCAAGTCAGTACTTGGCACCGAATAATCACTAATTTCAAGTTGAATGCTAGACTTCGTAGGAGGTTGCCACGCGTGACTTTTTCGCAGTTGTCACAGAGCGACACTTGAAAACTGGGTAATTAAACTGTTTATAACAATAATAATTCAAGAATAACGATTTATGGACATCGGTACAATACAGGCTATAATATGGCAACATGATCAATAAGTGAGGATAAGGTTGTTTGGCAGCTTTGCTACAGGCTAGTGGGACCGCGCTACATGCATATAGAATACATCAATGGTGGTACTAGAGGGTAGGCACACCAAGAGATTCACGTAACTTCTGATTGTACCTGATTCACAATAACAATACGATAGGGTTACACACTGTGTGTATATGTAAGCTTTTGATATCTTTCTGGTGTGCTTAACATGTTATGGAGTGCATGTGAGCATGTTGTGAGATTAACCTGTAATACTGACTCACGAGACCATTGAATGTGTTTAGGGGTACATGACAGTAAAGTCAATATACAATAGTGATCACGTGCAATAAGAGTTAGCATTGTGGATTTATCTACATAGCATGAAGCATAGGATTAACAGGGTGCCCTAATGAGACGAATAGAACAGTGACTCACGGGACCATTTAAATGTTTTCAGCATGAGGACTTGTTTTCCCCCAGGTCCAGAACTTTTATCGAAAACCTTCTTCGACTTTCTTTCCCATCTACCTCATGATCAGCTCATATAACAGAAGGCGGTTTCCCAAACGACTTCATGCCTTTCGTGTTATTATCACACATTTGAAAGCTCCGAACAGAAATAACACACAAATAGTTTCGTTTGTACAAAGAGGTTTGCATAACAAAGGCTGTTTGTGGCAAGCAAAGTTTCTCCGAATGAAATGAAAACATTTACATACTGGAAAATTGCAAAGCGGTATGAGGAACGGCGAATGTGGTTACTGTAAAATCATACGATAAAGTGAAAGAATGGCAACTATTCTGGCTCTAGTTGCTGCACCATATGTGGCTAATGAACCGAGTACTTGCTCTATAATCGTCATGGTTGATGAATATTTATTTCCAAATTGCTATTGTTATTTAATTAGAAAGAGGACGGATGTGACAGTGGTAGTGATAATCACGAGCACGGTGCTGGTTCGATCCCGCTCTAGGTTCACTAAAGTTCTGGTTCCTCCGTGGTCGGGGAATTGGCACTGGTCTTGTCCTGGAAAAATTCTCGAATTCACTCACTGCAATCCAACTGGGAACGCTCCAACCTGGCTATTTCAGGGCTCTAGAAAAAATGGAATCGATCAGCATCCTACGGCATTCAAGATGAAATGAAAATCATCAACCAGCAGCCGAAGCAGCAAGCAAAATTTGGAATACTTCGTTGATTATGGATGCAAGGAAACGAATTGAGTATGAGAAGTGCTAGGATGCGCACAGTAGATGTGAGAGTAGGATCTCATAGAAAAATTGAATTAGAAGTGAGCTTGTTACATTACTAGCCACTACGGGAAAAGTGATCAATGCCTATCACAGCAAGTGCCTTCATTATCCATGGAACGCGAAGGCGGGGTTTCCGCTGATACTGTGCAACGTCGTGGACTTTATGCATCTATAAGCGATCTGTCAGTGATCTAACACCGTACTAATGTTTATTGCTGACTTTATAACCAATGGATGGGATCCATTTTTTAGGGCACAAAATATTATTGATTCACTGCTTACTTCTAGGTTATGGCTATGTTTGTCCGAGCTCCGAACTCGGTAAAATACTATTAATAGTATATGGCATCGTTGGAATTCCACTAGCACTGGTTACGGTGGCAAATACCGGTAAATTTCTGAGCCGGATTGTCTCTGTTTGGCTCAACGAGGTAAGTAGAAATCATATCAAATTCGATGGTACGTTGACGGATCGTATTAATTTGGCACTAATGCATATACTATCAACTTCTAGAAACACCTCTACGTGAATACTTTGCGGTTATTTTTACGTCTGCCCTATATTGTTTAAGTATCCCGCAAGGCATTGCACATTTCAACTTCAATATGATTGTTTCTTAGCTCGAAGAAAACTTTATTAATTAAGTCAAAGATAATTAGTTCGTAGATGTTCTTTATTTTAACCTCAGCATTGATCGACGATCATTAATGGCCTGTTTTCTTGATGAACAGACACGTAGTTGTAACCACACTATTTGTTCACAATAGCTGCCGGCTGACGCTTCGTCGGTCCTACCTTCTTCAAATCCTGAAGACGTAAAACTGACGGTAAATCTGCTCGGAAAAACACTTTCGTAACCTCAGTGGAAAAAACTCACCACCTAAATTTAATTTACATGCGGCTTCTTTTAAACACTCACCAACTTCTTGACTTTTATTTACTGCTTGCTGCAACTTTTTACGGCAGGGTGTTATGTGAATTGCAGCCACAGTGATGCTGAGGTGTTTACGAAATCTCCGGATCGCAGCTGACTGTGGTGAGGATCGGACCCATTATTACGCTTGCCGAGGGCTAACGTCATCACCACCACACCATACTCCCTGACCCTTTTTCTCGTTCTCTCATTGGCTTTCACTCTGTAGGTCAGCATTCCACCTGGTCAATGACATGTTCTCTCCGGTTATTGTGTACCCATATCGATAATATTCTTTTTAAATCACTGGGTGTTGTGGCGAACAGCTGTGAGCCAGCATCAAGATAGTAGATTGATATGGATGAAGTGAGGGCAGAGGCTCCACGGGTCCACAGAATGCGGTGAGTGGGGGTCCGCATCAAGTGTTTCTTCTCAGGTTTAGGCAGCAGCTTCCTAGGCGGTTAAGGAGAGGTGCATGGCTCAGGGCTGAAAGGCAGTAGAGAAAAACACTCGCACAATGTAGTGGCCGAATTATACCCGTGAGCACTTAGACAACCGCGACCTTTTCGACACCTTCAGGATGCCGATCGCTTTACGTTTGCACTGAAATTCGCTGTACGTACAACAGCGAGTGCATCTCTGTGCAAATCGCACGCTGAGATGCAGTTCTGTCTTAAAGTTTAACTAAAAAGCCACTTGTGCCACGCCACAATTTACTCCATTCAGCTTCGGAAAAATTTACCCTCGATCGACGAAAGCCCTCTTATTACAAGGTGATGGCGAAGGCTTTAAGAGACAGTTTAAGGACTGCGGATAAAAGTTTACAGTGTGCATAAGAAAAAAAGTCGAGCTAACTGGCAATATATGGTCTGCGTAGAAGTTTCCGTCAATCGCATTTTTGTGCCAACAGGCCATCTAATCGTTCTGTATCTAAGCTTCTTCGACATCCGACCTATACAACTGGCTACGGTAATGCGCAATTGAACGAAGAATACGGTGTACCTAATCTTTTGTGAAATATGCAGTGACGAATAAATAGGAGAAAGGAGTAGACCACTGAGCATAAGTACAGAAGAGCGTCTAATTGGGGAACTTAAATATGCGAGGGCATAACGGAGGAAACTGCAACGTAAAATCCACTACCCTTCCACTGAAATCTAAAATACCAACGCGTAAAACTCGAACTGCTTCAAACAAATTCCAGAAAACCAAAAATGAACGGTAAATAGGAGGAATGCCCTGTGATCACGCGCGACCTCGCCGCTCACTTTATACTGATTTTTGACCCAAGCTCATCAGATTCGCTGTCCGTCTAGGACTCTATGCACCTGGTCCTTATCAATAAATGAAAGTTTTATAATGAACAAAACGGTCGGTGTTTAAAGAAGCCGTTTTCCATGCGATTGAAAGGCTTTGAAGAAGGCAAAACCGTCGAAACGTTGGCGATTACGAATAAATAGTGTAATAAGAGCATTTTATTACCGCCTCCTTTTTTTTCGTGCGGCTGAACAGTGAAACGATTTAGTAAGCTAACTTTTGTACTGTAATAGGTATTGCTGACCCATTATGTATTGCTGGTGACTTAAACTGAAGCGCTTGCGTATTACTTAAAAGAAATAAATTTAAATTTCCTCTTCGTTTTTCTGAGTTTAAAAACAACATAAAGGATTAAGGATAAAGCTCTCGGCGTTGATCAATCTCTGAGGGATGCACCATGCATTCGACTTCATTAAGCATCGTTTGGAGGTGATTGAATGCATATCTGGCCTTTACAATGACTGGCAGTGGCCTATCAATGTATCGAGCCAGTGCTGCTATCCTCCCAGACAAGTCTGGTACCAATTTGCCGACCCCGGGGTGAGGGAAAACTTGCTGGGCCATGCGCACGGAGAACGATTCCACGTATGTGTTGGAGGGCGCCTCCGACTCTTGCACCACACGCGCCTTTGGCCAAAAACAACATAATAGAAAGGTACCATTATGGCGATAAAGCAAAGCCACTTGTCCAAGTATGTCAAACTCTCAACTCCTCAATCACATTAGACGTCGAAAAATTCGTCACCAGTTTCGAAATAAAGTTAATGCACGATCCTTTTCCTAGATTGCTTCTTGACCCATCTTCATATATTTGCGTATGTAAAGCCCCATACAATAAAGTGAGCTTCAATGAAGAAAACACGGATTAAACAAGAAAAACGATTCAACTAAGAACGACCATGAATATATGTGCTTGTAATAGCAAGACGTTCAAATGAACAATGTATTTAGTCGATGAGTATGCCGACCGGTCTGTTCCTTTCACTGCTGTTTTTCTATCCAATTTTTGGAGGATTGATGTTCCATAGCTATGCTGATTTGTCACTTCAAGACGCTATATACTTTAGCTTCACGTCGATATTCACAATTGGATTTGGTGATCTAATGGTATGTTAATAAAAAATAAGTTTGGATCCCAGAAAAATGCTAAGCACTGTTCCGAATCCTTACACCACGATGACCTTTACGAGCGTAGTACCGACTCCGTGGCACTGTCTGCTTTTCTTATTTTAAGCAACGTGTGTCACAACCAACCCTGCTACTGCTCAATGTAAGCGCCCAATGAACCCCTTGATGAATATTAATCTTTCACAAAAAGGGTCTCAAAGTTAAGCAAAGCGTATAATGAACATGGATGACATTGTTGTCTACACTTTTCAACATTAATATCCAATATAAACTGCGTGTAAACTAAAGTCCCCATGATTTTTGCCTTTCCGTGAACTGTAACCTCCTCAGCTGCAGCTTCTAGCGGCTTTACAGCGCTAAGTGTTTTTATTGTTCACATCATAAAAAAGGCTACCGAATTATAATTCATAAGAATATGGCTATTCACTTAGCGAAACATTGCACTTTATCACTAAAAAAGAGCGCAGTAGAATTAGTCTGCTAACAACATCAGTCCCACTCAGAGTACGACTCTCGAAAAAAGCAGTGCTTGCCACATAGATTTCGACTCTTTGTGGAACCATAATCAATTTGAGCCGAACGTCAATGTTGTCTATCTGGTGGTCTTCATCATCATTGGTGTACTTCTGGTCACGATCACCATCGATTTCATCGTTGCCGAAGTCATCGACCACGTCCACTACATGGGACGACACGTCGGCAAAGCTCGGATGATTGCCAGCAAAATGATCAAGGTAGGCGCTACTCTTTCCTTGACCCAACACACAAAAAATAGATTTACCTTACATGAGTTGTAATTTTCAGCTGTCTACATCTTTACATACAGTTGTGTGTTTTGAAACATAAATTTTAACAGGGAATGGGAAATTTCCAATGGATCGGAGTGAAAATTTGTCCACACCTCATATTTCAAATAGAATTCAAGAGTGGAAAAGACAGCTAATGTGTCGTTTTCTTGTTCAGCAATCGCGAGGTTTTTAAACACCATACATTTGCTTCCATAGAAAACACAATACAATACAACGCTAGCTGACGTTTCGGCAGTATCGCCTTCTTCAGAGCCTGGAAGGGTATGCTGATATACAATCTACTAGGCCAAACGCTTCAATAACACTTACAAAAAGACGAAGAACTCTTTGGTAATTACATGATCAACAACTTCTCGAAAAA